AAAAGCTGTATGTATTTGTACCATATGCATCACTGATTTCAACCAAGCACTCATATTCCTAAACCGACCCTCCATGGTTTTTTTTTTTTTTTTTTTAGTGTAAGCAGAAGGACTCGAACTCGAGACCTCTCACTTACACTCCCTCCCCCGTACCACCCAACCCAACCCAACCCTCCATGGTTAAACATATACCAAAACACACATGTCAAGTGGTCAATTACAGATGACAATTGTTAGTGAAAGTAGTGTTAAAACAACAAATCAATCAAAGAATACCAAGTCAGTTTAAGTTGTCCACGTGACATTTTTTGGTGAGGGTAGTCTTAAATTTTTAGATAGTAGTTGGATATATGTATGTATGTATTAGTGGTTACGCTAATACTTTGGAGAGTTCATGTGGCTGACACATGCTCATTTGCTCCCATATTTAATGAGGATTATGGAGTTCCACTGCCTTATATTTGTAATCATGCCATTGTGCCCTATTGACAATTTGTTGGTTTTGGTTTGGTTACTTTGACCGGATAGTTTAATTTTAATGAATAATTACAATTTATTTCTTAACATATATTTTAATTTTTAGTTTACCCCCTAGCCCTTTTTTATTGTCAACTACCCTTCTATTATGTTGAAATTTGTTTTTCTTTTTACTTATCTCTTTTCATTTCTATTTAAATTATTTTTCTTTTTTCAAATTCCTATTTTTGAGCTAATAAAAGAATTTCTCTATCCAGTAGTTTTATTTTCTAAAATTTGTATTGGCCCAAAGAATGAAATTCTAATTGATTTTATGTTCTACTATTTTATACACACACACACACACATATGTTCTACTATTGTATATGTATGTATGTATGTGTGTGTGTGCGCCTATATATATATTTGTATAGTATCTATATTAGTTTGTCTCTCTTCCATATAATTTGTCAATTACAAAAAATTACATGCTAATTAGTTTCATCAATTTTTTCAATCTAAGAAATTAAAGGCAAAAATGTTTATTACATATCCTTATAATTATACAATTCAAAATAGGTTACTCATATTTTTGCAATCACCTTCACATGTGATTAATTTAACATCCTTTTATTCTCTTTTCCTCAAATAGATTTTTGCTTGTCATAATATTTTCTTTACCATTTATCCTAAAGTAATTAAATATTAGTATATTCCCTGATAAAACTACTTCTCTCATGTGATACTATACCACCATAATTGGAGTGCTCAAAATTGCACCATTGGTAATGATTATTTGGGAAAAGAAAGAAGAAAATAGAAAAAAATAAAAACCTAGCATGATAGAGTAGTTTTATCCCTCAGGTGGTGAAGTGACAAAAAATAAAGATTAGGGAGTAAGTGTGAAATCAGGTTACATCTTAAGGATGAATTGTAATTACCCCTAATTTCAATTATCTAACTAAATGTAGAGCAAAAGCTCTTGATGGTTTGTATGATTGACAAGTGTCCATTCCTTCTTCAAATTTAATGACAGTTTGGTGTTCAATAGTTTTTTATTAGCAACTTTACCATTGTCCTCAAATGACAATTACTTGATCTTTAACTTGGTTTTTTTGGACAAGTTTTTCTATATGGATATTTTTAGTTAGTTTAGGACCCACACATGGTTAAGTCATATATGTGTAGGTGGAAAAAAAAATTTAGAGCATACTTACAACAAACTTAAGCAGTTTAACCCTTTTTGTATTGGTTTAAAGCTCAATCAATCTCTCAAATTTAAGATCAATTTAGTATTAGATTTTAAATATTTTGGTTTTTGGTGTGAATACATAGTAGAAATTTATTAGTGTGAATACATTGTAGTAGGCAATAACCTTAATATATATATATATATTGACAGACACACACAGACACACCAAAAGGTGATTATATCCTCCCTATCATTGTCAAGCCTTCAAGATAATTGCTGTTTCAATTTTTGAATCTAAAATTTGAGCATCTAATACAGATAGAGAAATTAAACAACATTTATTTCTTTTCTTTTTTTTGGTTATGTCTATCCCTCTTCTCTAGTTTCATTTATCAAGATTTCATAAATCAAACTCATGGAACCCTGTATTTTGTTTACTTTATAGGGCTCAACATTTTTTTTTTTTTTGGTTATGCCTAGGGATGGCAACGGGGCGGGGTTGGGGCAGGGGACCCCTCCCCCATCCCCCGCCCCCCTGCCTACAAACTCCCCCCGCCCCTGCCCCATCCCCGTCCCCCGTCCCCCCGGCCCGCCCCGCTTCCCTCGCGGGTGCCCCCGCAGGGCTAATAAAAATTTGTTATAAAATTTTATTATGGTTAAATTTTAGCAAATAATCAAGTACTAAAATATCAACACATCATCAAATTATTATTCATTGTAATTTTACAATTGAAACTTATAAAAAATCAATTATTTGAATACAATCCAACATGATGAAATAAATATAACTAAAGTAGTCAAGTTTTCACTTTTGGCACAAATACAATCATTAATTCATTATTCTGCTTGTGCTTCTTTTAAGAAAAAAATGTTATTGTATTAAGTGTAATTAGAGATTTAATATAAATGTATTAGTAAATTTAGTATAACCAATTAATAATTTGTATTAGTACACATATATAATTATTAATATAATTAATAATATCAATTATATTATATATACTAATAGACATTATATAATACATATAACTAATAATATCATTATCATAAGTTTGTAACTAATTAAATTATATATTATATATATAATTATATATATTTTTTATATATTTATTTTTTTAAAGCGGGTGGGGCGGGGGAGTGTACCCCCGCCCCCGCCCCGTTTCTAAGCGGGGAGGGGGGAGGGGAAATTCCCCCGCCCCCTCCCAACCCCCCCCATTAGCCCCCAGCGGGGCGGGTGACCGCAATTGCCATCCCTAGTTATGCCTATCCCACTTCTCTAGTTTCATTTATCAAGATTTCATAAATCAAGTTCATTGAATCCCATGATTTGTTTACTTTACACGGCTCAATATGTTTTTTTCTTTTAACTTTGAGGTTGATATAGATTAATTCATAGAAAAAGGAGTTTGATGTTGTATTTCCCATCTGTAAGACTGTTAAAAAATTTAAACATTATTTATGGACTAATGCAATTTAACTTTTGCCTAGGACATTTAGTAGTTCTGCTTTTGTTTCTCAATGTACTCATTTCATTTTGAAGCAGACTTGGAAGACCTTTTTATTTTTATTCTTTTTTCTTTTAACGGTTTTCGTTGCCTAGGTAGGTAATCATAATCTTTTTTTTTTTGGTTTAAGTTATGGGTTTCAAATCCCTTCTTCAAACTCTTTTGATGCCCCAAGCAACTTAATTTCGTAATTACAGATTTGAAATCCATTCCTTTGAAATTTAGCCCTAAATCCAAATTCTTCTACCCAACTCAAGTAACTCAATTTGGAGCAAACAAAGTCCAATGTTGTATCAAGGGCCCTGTAAATTTGGCACAAACAAAATCTTTCTATGGAATTAATCCGAAATTGTACTGCACCACATGAACATAAGAAAGTAGAGAGGAGTCTGATCAGATACCAAGGGCTCCTTAATACCAATGCAGGTAGAATTACAACATATATGTACTAATATTTAGCATACAACTTAGAAAATGCAGCATAAGAACTAAACGAGATTCCATCCAACATCTAGTGGCACTTTAGGCAGGACAAAGAAATGGTTTTAATCCAATTTTACTTTGCTGGATACAAAACCATCATCTAAACAATATTTCATTTACAACAGAGGCTTACAAGGTGCTTGCAATGGCAATTGCATCCGCGATGAATTGAGTCAAGTTTTGAAACCATCTCTTGAGCTTCAAGGTACTATGAATAAGGAACAGGGACACTAAGGGATCCAGTGTTAAGCAATCTTGGCAGTATCTGCAAGATAGATGCATCAACATCAGAAAAGGTTTAATGCCATATGAGACTCTGTTCAGAAAAATGTGATTTAACTGAAACCTTACCTCACCAAGTCGAGCATTGATTTTTAAAGGCACAAATTTATCAGCTCGTGTCTCGCCAAGGTTTACAATTGCAGTAGCAGCACCAGCTCATGAGCAGCCCTAACAAATAAGACCAAAAAATAATTTTTATACATCCCTTATTGAAAAGAGATCTTTGTGGAAACTGTCCATAACCGTCTTTTAATACATGACCTCTTTATTCAAATAATAAACACCCGTGCATAAAATCTAATTGAAAATGATACTCTTAGCAAGTTCAAAAAGACATCGTAACGCCAATTAGAAAAAAGAAAAAGAAACTGAACCAGAAAACAGAGACCCTTATAAGCACCAGTTTAAATTTAATGTTCATAAGTTTGGGTTTTAGGACTTCATAATGAAGATCTATACCACAGCATGGCAGGAACAGACGAAAATCTTGAGTTCATATTTGGCTTATTGTATGGAATTATAGAGATTAATGAGAACAATGTCTAAACTGAGAATGGATTCCCTCCAAATGAATTACTAAATCCAAAAAATGCAAGACAAAGAGAACATATCAGACATCTCATGTGGCAAACAAAAAGGAGGTGAAATCTATTAGTAACTGCTGCAGAAGCTGCCAAAAAACAAAGACCTATAATCAAGTCGACAAATAAACAATACAAAAAGGTTGATGAAGACCAGACCAAAAGATAGGGGCATAACTAACAAACCAAACCTTATTAGGAAAGGATCTGCCAGTCTTGAAATGGGTATCTTTCAAGCCAAAACACATACCAAATGCAATTATACTTCAGATACTCTAGGACTTGAGCTCAAGTCCAACACCCCAGTTGCAGCATACACAAGCATGATAGCAAATTTAGGCACATACAGGACAAATTTCAAAGCACAAATTTAGTCCACTTTTCCATCTGATGCAGTACCAAGGAAATGTGGATAAAAAAGGATATCAGATACTTGGCTCCAGAAAGTAGGACAAACTGTGGATAGGAGAAGGAAAAGTAGGAAGAAGAGAAGAAAGAAAGAAAAAGAATTACCAACTCCAAACAAGTCTCCACAATAATTTTTCAGTCATTCTGGACCAGCATAACTTCCATTGGACAAGGCACTGATTAGGATTCTAAGCATTAGGATGAGAATTTACTTATATTAGACTTTTATTTTATAGCTGCAAGTCAATATATAATCAGGTTTTGCTCGCGTTGCACATCAGCTTTTAAAACTTAAAGAATATCGTCCGTTCTACATGTTTTTCATGTAAGTATCCAGGCGTTGGGCTAATTTACCTAACCAGAACAATGTCTTTCACCATTTTGCTTTCAAGCCCATAAGCGGGCTAATTTACCTAACCAGGACAATGTCTTTCACCATTTTGCTTTCAAGCCCATAAGCTGGTCATGCACCAAAGCTTTCCCTAGTCTTCTCAGGCTTCTGTCTGCATCAGAACATTCCAAGCTTCACCTAAATCATACTTAGAAAGATGGCAAGGCTTGGACCTGGGACACCAAATAGAGTAAGTGAACTTCCCTAAGCAAACTTAACAGCCAAGAAAATGAGATGCTAGAAGCGTAGGACGCCAGATTTGACTCATAGTTTCTCGCAATATATCAATTACATGAAAAGCCCTCATGAAACTGATACAGAGACCTACTTTAGCTTTGGTTCAAATCACAAAATCACCAACAACAAACATTGAAGCCATAGAGGGCACATTAACTGCTATTGACACCTTCCTTTGGACTAAAAGCTTCTCTTTTATGATATAATCCTAGTTGCTGAAGCCTTCGATCATTCTTGCTGGAGAGATTCTATACAGGAATAAATCAATGCCCAGACATAATAAGACTTGAGTTTCACTGCCTGCAGGGAGAGATGCCCTTTTTCATCCAAGAAGATCAATGGCAACTAGCATTTAAACTATATATCCCTCAAATCTCCTACACAAACTCCAATGTTACATGGGCATTAGCAACAGAAGGGAACTCCCAAGAGACTAGATAGTTTCATCACTGAAGTTGAAATGTATTGCCTTAAACCATGTAGAAGCTGAATAATGATTTTGCTTAATATGAGACTCCCGAGTGGGAGTTGCTTTGCTTTACTTCAAAATTTTTCTCTGGGAGAGTGGAATAAAAAAAGGGTCTTTCCATTGAAATTTTAAGAGCTAAGCAACTATTTAATATTGAATATTGTTTACCAGGGAAGGTACATTTCTTTACATATAATCAGGATATGAGCATTCTCGTTATCTTAAATTTGTTTTTGAATATGTATTGCTATCAGTATCAACCTAATACATAGCTCTTTGCAATTAATATGTATCAATCTTGAGGTAAGCCGCTTCATCCATTGCTTAGCCTGTTGGAGTCTTAGAGGAATCCATGTGTTTAGGGTCTTATATGGGGCAAACCACACAAGCAAGACGAAGCTCAAGAGTGAAGATATTGAGTCTGAAAGCCTGTATAGTACCTGGAAAGGCACTAAGATAGATTTCTTGCTGTGAGAGGGGTCTCTATAAGAAATATTTTTTTCTCTTTCTAATCTTTTTTCTTTCTGGGTAAATAGGCCAGCAACTGGGTAAAAGACATCTTAGGAAAGCATTCACTTCCACCCTTTCCTTGAAAGGAATTTATTCTTATCCTGGCCAGTAAGCAGGGTCAAAGGATGAGGCAGGGGAGTTGTTGTGCGCTTTCTACTAAGACAAATAGCAGCAACATACTTGAAGCTCTATCCCTAAGACATGGATTGTAGTATTGAGCTCCATGTGCAGCTAAGACATCACTTGAGACAATTTTTACCACCCAAACTGACATCTGGCTGCTGATTTCTAGCACCCAAACTGATGCATGGTTGCTCATAAATCTCTAGGTCCTGCCTGGCTGAAATCTGTTCAGTGGACTTCTCGATGTTTGAAGTTATTTGGCTATTTATCTTAAAGCTAAAGTATGGACCAAGAATGCAATTATACTCACAAGCAGCAATCAACTCACAAACATGTTTAAAGAACAAAAGATCATCTAATGCAAGTATGTTACAAGGAAGAATATAAACTAGTTCAGCTTGTGTAAACAGAAAAATTCCCTTACCTTGGTCGAGCTAAGTCAAAGGTGAGAACCACTTTTATCTCAATTTGCATAGCAGGTTAATCGATTAACACGTAATTATAATTCATTGAATTGCATATTTTATTTCAAATCCTCCAAATATTTGTCAGCCACAATATTGATAAGTTTTCTTTGTGTCCTATAATGACCCACTTAAATAAGTGGTTACTGCAAAAAACTTGCTGAACATGATCATCTTGCCTCCATCCCCCTCTTTGTTTTTTCAATAACAAAAAAAATAGAATAGTAAGATTAAACAATTCTCACCTAATAAGACGGAAAGCAGACATAGTCATCAAAGATGAGCCAAGCACAAGAAAAGCATCACATCTCTTTGCAGCTTCCATGGCTGTGTCAGCTCTATCCTTTGGGACATTATCACCAAAGAAGACAACCTGCAGAAAGTTAAATACATTAGACATTAAGATGAATATAGACATTCTAGTTCCAGTATATGTCAACCAATAAAAGATGGTTATGCAAAGTAGCTAAAAGAAAAGAATAGATAAGACAAGCATTTAATTGAGATAAAACATCATCGCCAAATGAAATCAAGGAAAAACAAGAAATAATTCATCCAAAGAAGTAGAATGAAACATACAAGGCAAAGTTAAAATTATGAACCAGCAAGTCCCGGTAATGTCAAGTACACCGATAAATTTGTAAACAAAGTACTGTATGCATCTGAAGTATTATACACTCAAGATTTACCAAAAATCTAGCTCAACATTGTTTTAGCAAACTGGGGAACCATTTGATACATCTGGAAACTAAATACTGTCCATTTTGTAGACTTTTAACTTCATGAAAACATTCTGTTTTATTTTTTTTGGTTTTGTAGATTTTTAACCTCATGAAAACATTCTGTTTTATTCTTTTGGCGTGTCCATTGTGATTATTATGGTATTTGAGAGATTTAACAGCCACATTGATACACGATAGGAGATTATGTCAATCCAGTGGACTGAATTCTGGAAAGTGTGGCTTACCTGGCCTACATCTAACTATTCTATCAATGACAAAACCTAAGTGCTCCTGCCACACAATGTTTTCCTTTGTTGCTGAATCCAAATCTCCACTTCCTTTAAATAACGTGTTGAGAGAGAGAGAGAGAGAGAGAATAAAAGGTTTCTTTTTACATGCCAATTTAACAGAATGCGCAGCTTCTTACATTCAAATTTGAATTGACAAATAGCATACCAGCCTCTATTCTGCATGAAACTTGCAGGAACCTGAGCAAGTTGACAGACAAATCTTTTTGCATTGCTTCACAATGTAGAAGTTTTTACCATTTCAAAAAAATAGGTAAATCTTTGTTGTAAACTTTACTTATAAATAGCACTGTGTTCTGATGCACTTATGAGGATGGAAAATGGTAATTTGTTGAGCTGGAGGCTTCAAAGATGCCTCTGTTCAGTATCCTGTCAGAATTTGTTTGCACAGGAAGGAAAAGAAGTGCAATTGAAGCAGTAGAAAGAACCTTGAGAACAGCTTTCCTCTTTGTGGAACTGTTGGAATATAAGCTATCCAAAATAACTCCCGATTTTATCTTCGCAGTAGAGATTCACAGACTCGCTATAAAATACATGGGGGCCATTTTAATGATGCCTCTTACCGAGAAATGTGCTACTCTAAAGATAAAAAGAAAGAGGAAGAAATGACAATGTGAGATCCTTTCCAATTGCATCTCAACCTTAATGATGCAAGTGCAAGAAGGAGCATGTAAGGTTAATAGGTTAATCAACATCTATTGTCCTTACTACCAATATATACCAATTAAAATGTGAAAACAGTTGAAGCTAATAGCAAATATTTATCAAGAGAAAGGAAAAAGGAATTCATCCAGTAATCTGGCATCCAGTCTTTGTGAAACTAATTAATTTACCAGTTGAATGGAACTTTCTATTTAATAAATCAAATGTTTAGGCTCGAATACAATTTAGTTTACAAAGACAATTTCTGTACTCTCCACCTACCGAAAACAAATTTCTGTACTCCATTTCTATATCTGTACAATAAGAGCTCATCATTAGTTGAAAGAGAAACATATTAATCTAAGAATTCTTTGTTGTCCAAATGACAACTTCAGTACTTTCACAGATTATTTCAAGGAATACAAGTGGAAATGTATTTTTCTGGGCGAAAGGCAAAATAGTTTTAGGCAATTTATCTAATAAAATAAAAGATGAATGGCGGAAAAACTTTTAGTTATCATGTTTTTTCATTAAACTCATGTGCTAGATCCAATTTCAAAAGACTTCTTCCTATTTAATTTTTTACTTTTTATTTTTCCATTTGTTTTCAGTAAGCACTGATATAGTGTAAAGAAAGGATATATATCTCTTTGGAAGAATCTTTTTTGACCTTTAGGTAAATCAAGAGCTAAAACATTAAAATGTCAACTGCAAGTGCAAATTTTTATTTGCTACCTATTATTATTTTTTAGGTGACTTGCATGAACCAGTGATACTCTCAATCCAGGAAAAATAACAATCCCACTAACATCATGTAAATGAGGAAATGGCTTACGTCAGGTTTTAAAATTCCATCACATCTCTGACAACTAGGAATATGAAATTCTCCTCCCAGAATTTCTCATCAATTTCAAACGTCGCCATCTGGCCTAATCTTCATACCAAAGCTCTTGTCGGAGACACTGTCATAGTCTAAACTTTCAATTGCAGCTGCCCACTGGCAAATAGCACAACATATTGATTGAGAAGTAGTTCTCATAGAACAGGAAAGTACGTCATACATATGCACAATTGTTAGGTTAATTGAGCATTTCAAGTCAAACCACCTCAAAGAAATGAGAAAAAAATAAATAATCAATGTAGAGACAGCTTGATACAAATAAATAAACTGACAGTTTAGACCTCAAAACCTCAAAAACTTAAAACACAAATACAATGATGCAAATTTCGGAAAGCAGACACATAGTTGGACATGCCTATAAATAGCAGTTCCATGGGAGAAAGGCAAAACTTCACTAGTATGTAACTTTGGCCAAGACGAACGAGTTTAACCTTCAACACATTCTGGCCTCAGCAAGGGCTCCTGTAAGTTATAGCTTGGCACTATAATGCAAAGCAGGAATTGATAGAGCCAGGGGATAGTAACAGGAAGAAATTGATTGAGTAACTTAAATTGATCATGTAACACTCATGCCAAAACGAACTTCTTGAATGGGAATTGTGAGGACAGGGTTTGGAAGTAAGAAGAAGCTGATGGGGTTAATTTATTTGATCAAAGGCACTCTTGCTGAAAGAAATTCATGAATGTCCAAGATTAGCTATCAGCAGTGACATAAGAGCCAAAAAGCCGTTCTTTTGTATTTTTGCTTCATTAAGGCATTAATGACATAAAACAAAGTCATGAAGTATCGCATATCCATTGTGGGCAGAATTGATCCTAATCTTTATAGAGAGGTTCTTTACAAATTTAAAAATCTTCAGGTTAAGACTATACAAGAAATATTCTTATGACAATACCTAGTGGCAACTCAACCAGGTATACAGATCTTATTAAAACAATTCTCACAATAGACTGAATATTCTACTAGTAAAGGTAACTAGCTGTTCTCCATCATATGCACACATCCCAGTCCCCACCTAAACAAGCAATTAATGTATTCTATAGATAGAAAATGTACCACCAAAGTATAATATTTCAATGTAAACCAATATTTTCAGGTTTCTTGGACATCATCTGAATAAATTCTTCCCAACCAAAGTAAAAGAGACAGATCTACCACAAAGTGCCGAAATTCATACTCAAGGTAACTAAGTGGTATCCTTCATACGTAGATGTCCAGGCACGACACCAGAACAAGCAATGGGCGTCTTCTAGAGAAGACAATGTACCAAATGAAATCAATATTTCAGAGTAAACTAAGGGATATTTGGGGGCATTATTTTTCCATATCCCCTTCTTGGTCATCAATATGAAATAAATTATTTCCAGCCTAAGCAAATGAGACAGATCCTTACACCAACAGCCCATCAAATACAGATTTCTGATGTGCCAATTTTTAACATGATCAATCCCTTTTATCAACTTCAAAAATGGAAAAACAATGCAGCTATTAATGGGTGATAGCTCAATTGACAAAAAAATAAAATATGTGATAAATCAGATTAATTCCCAGGCATATTTGTACAAGAAGATCAGAGCTGAAAATAACATACAACAGTATGCAAGATCATTTACTTATGCAGTTAGAAAAACTAACCTTTTTATTATGGGCTTTTACTTGATCTTGAAATACACTTCGAGAGAGTGAAAAACCACAATTTGTACAATTAACATTATATACAGTTCCATGTAATTCCAGGGGATTACTTCCAGCACGATGATGCAGCCTGATATAAGGAATTTATAAGGTTAGCTGCTCCTCTAGGTTCTATACCAAAAAAAAATCTATGGAGAAAAAAATGCACAAGTTCTAAGGCAATAAAACACCAATAACTAAAGCAGTGTACCTGTCTACATTTTGTGTAACCATAAAATTTATCCGTCCTGCTTTCTCAAGAGATGCCAGAGAAATATGAGCTGCACCAGGTTGTGCAGCGGTGAACTTTCTCCATCCGGCATAGCTCCTTGCCCAATATCGTCTTCGTGCCCGGATGGAACGCATAAACTCCTATTAAACCAAGATGGAAAATTCTAATACTTTTTAAAAATCTGACAAAACATAGAAACAAAATAAAGCCCAGAAAATATCGATTTCTAGAAATAGGCAAACACCCTTGTTCATATTCGCAAAATTCTGCATCGTGAAATCATTCAAAACATCTCTCACATTTTTCCAAATGAATTTTTTCATCCTTCACTTTTAAAATGGTAACTTTACGTCCCTTACAAAATCAAGTCGGTAAAATTTGGTCTCAACCTAGGTTTTCAAACACTTTTTACTTCTGAATCCATTACATAACTACAAATGGTCATTTTTTAGTGCCAAAAAGATTAGATTTCATTTATGGTTAAGAAAAATGACCTGATCGATATGCATTTTTTCCCCTAAAAAAGTTGGATATGACCCAAACCATCTTCATTTCTTCCTAAAAAAGTGGGATCATACCCAATCCATATTCATTTTTGCCACTAAAAATGTGGGATCTAACCTTTTTGTACATAAAATGACAGCATGTGAGCCGCGTGGCGATTTCGAGCTAAAAAGTGGTTGAAAACCCAGGTTGGGACCAAGTTTTACCGACTTGACTTTAAGGGACGTAAAGTTACTATTTAAAAAGTGAAGGACGAAAAAATTCATTTGGAAAAGGTGAGGGACGTTTTAAACAATTTTCCCTTCTACATCAGTTATTAAATGAAACATAGCTTCTAAAATATCAATATAGCTCTCTAACTTAAAATATTGATAGTGTACGTGAAGGTACTTCCAAAAACTAGAATTTGGTCCCTTCTAATATGGAGAAACCTAGGGACAGGTCAACACAATTTTCAAAAGTTATAGCTACACAAAGTGAGCTGGTATCAAATAACATAATTAACCACACAGAGGTTGCTTTAGCACCAGACGCAAAATAATCATGACCAAGCGTTAGCAACTTTTTCAGCTTTTTTCCTCCAATGTCCACATTTTAATGACTTTTTCTTTTTTGGCATGCTTCATCTCCTTGATAGGATTCAAATACAGATCAAGGAACTTGAAATCCAACTCCATCAACTCAGGGGAAGCTCATTGTACATAGTTTTTTTCAGCTAGTGAAATCAAGCTTGAAGGTGTGTTAGTATTTTTAACTTACAAGCTCAAATTCACATCCCCTCAACACCAAAAAATATATATAAGTATAAATTCTATACTGATAGTGCATTTGCAGTTATAGAGACATATACAGAAGAAGCAAGCTTCAAGAACCCTGCTAAAGGCCAGTTGGACAAATGCTTGTTTAACAATTAGACAAGACAAGTAAACAAGACAAGCTGAACAGCAATTTCAATTTTTGTTTGCAATAAAAACATGTTCAAACAACATAGCACTTGGCTAAATCTTGACTGCCTAAAGCTCTACTGCATGATGTCTATCATCAAATCTAGTCTAGGTGGCAAACATTTTTGTTAAAAATAATAATTTTATAAGCTGTTAAAAAAAATCAATAAAAAAGGCTTAGACCAAATTATCAAATGAGCAGTTCATGCAACATTTAACAAAAAAGGTTCAATGAATGGCTCCATGTATTTTCAAGTCTAAACGGCATTTAAAAGAATGGGGCATCTCTGACTTTTTGGAACAGTAGAAGATTATCCAACATAGTGGAAATCACTCAAAAAACTAGCTAGATTTCATGGCGCGTGCCTTCGGTTCACCTGATGGGTTATGGGTTTGAATCCAGTGCTATAAGCTCCATTTGGACTGCAAAGAAAAGGACAAAATGATATTACTTCTCAGCTTCAAAGCAGATTTTCACTTTTACATATTTGATGTGCAATTGAAAATTTCTGTCATCGGGTAGGATATGCAGGCCCAGCTGGTTTTAACATTGATGAGATTCTTATTCTAGCGAAAGAAAACATAGACAGACAAGTAGATGACTCCTGCTAGAATACACATCTTTGAATCAGTATTAGAAAACTACACGATTTAGCTATTTCATCAAAAAGATTGTATTCAATATTCTATAAAAGGAAATACAAATATTTTGTCAAAAGTGGCTCACAAACTTACATTGGCGAGCAAAATGAAAAATTAGATGAATTTACTCGCATAACCTGCATATATTTGTTCATCAACTACTCCCTGGAGACTGTTATCACTGAATGATTTAGGATGTGGAACAGAAGGAAGCAGATGGCATAATTATTAAAAGTACACATTTGCACTCAAGTACCTGAGCATCTCGAATGGCATCTCAATGGTATGAGGTGAAATATTTCCACAAATGCTACTGGAACCACATTCTAGGCTTGCTGAAAAAAGTAATTGCACTTTTCTATCATTTTGTTTTCTTTCTTCACAGGCTTTCTCGTAACCATCATCAGCCTCATTGCTACTTTTGTTATTAATGCTGCACTTGTAATTGTTAGAGTTATTGCCATTACCATTATCATCAGTTCCTTCGGTAGGTTGTATATTTTTTTTTCTTTTTTGAGTCAGCAGGTTATACATTTTGTGGTCAATGTTCACTAATACGAATATAATTTGTCATGATCTTTCAATTTGTTCTACTAGTTTATCTAGCATACATCTGTAAGTTAATGAAATACAGGTAACAACTTGAAAATGTAGGTCCACTCAAGTAAAAGAAAATTACTAAAAGGTGAATTGAAAATGGTAAATGATAGGAAGTTCTCCATCCACAACCAAATTATACTTATACATTGATTCAAACACACAGTGCAGCTTGATGGCTGCAACTCCACTCTTCTGCTTTTATCAAATGGACCAGTTTCATGAATGACAGACTTATCTTTATCCATTAGGGGTCAACTAGAAATTTTTGAGTGCCTACTGTTCCTGAAAGCATCAGATATTTTGTTTTCCCGTTTTCTCATATTAGTTTGAACTCTCCAAAGCAAGAGGGGCCCCCGGTTTCTTCATCGCATTTGCAAATAATCAGCCAATAGCATACAATTTTGTAGTTTTTCAACATTGTTTCTCATAGGATTGCTACATTATGCAGCTCCGACACGGAAAACTCAAGCTTCCAAGGCTGTACTTTCCGACATTTACTTACCAAAGAATTTCAAGTCTCTTCTTCCAACTTCATTAAAGCCCACAGAAAAAATCCTCTATTTGTGTCCTAATCCAGTAATACTCAAAATGAAGATAATATTAACTACATCTTTTCTATATTTTCTGCAACCTCAGATTTATTTAATTAAAGGGTAAAAAACAAAAAGGCCCCCCGTGGTAAACTTAATATACAGAAAAGCCTCCCGTGGTTTCAAAACGTACAACACGACATCCCATACTTTGAACTAAATTGTAAAGATGACGGAATCCGTTAAATTTAACAGAAATAGACGAAATGACCAAAATGCCCCGATATAATTAAGCAAAAGACAGCCCAAAAAAATCATTTGTTTTATTCTCTAGATAGAGAGAATTGAGGGTTAAGGGGTAAAATAGGTATATTTGTTCAAAATTAGGTATAAAAAATTTTTTCAGGTCCCAATAAGTCATTTCCGTTAAGTTTAACGGATTCCATCACCTTTACAATTTAGTTCAAAACATGAGGTGTTATGTTGTACATTTTGAAACCACGGGGGGCTTTTCTTTGTATTAGGTTTACCACAGGGGTTTTTTTGTTTTTTTACCCTTAATTAAAATAAGTGCAGACTAAGTAATACTTCTTAAAGGTCTTTCTCTTGCCCAAGCCTTTTGATTAAGGAGCAAAACTATCTACTTTCTTGTTACAAAGGGGACGATAACACTATGATCCGAATCATGGAAGAAAAACTCCCGTACTTTCTAGATCTAAATCTGTCCTAACTCCTGACATAACTCCTGAATAATTACAAATGCCAAACCCCCAATTGGAAAGCTGGTCCACTGCCCTGTTTCATTTACTAAGAGTGTGCTAAACAAAGGCCTCCAGTCTCTAGATATTAGTATCCTGCAATGCACTGTAACTTTTGCTGATGACTGATAACTAATTTCCCCTTGTTTGGATCAGTTGCATAACAACCTGAAAATCTGTTTCAACAACCATCTCTCCCTAAAAACCGTGTTCGATGTCATCTCCAAATCCTCTTTTATATTTAAACTCATGTACCTGTAAAACTCATTCCACGCTTCTAATAGCCTGCAGCCAATATACCATCTCACCAAGCAACATTAATGCTCTTCAGATGAGCATATCCATGGAAAAAATTTTCATTATTGTTCAATTCTTCCATCCACAAGTTTGGTACAGCCAAAAGATTTTGCTTTTTTGCATTGTTTTGACTTATTACATGTCACTCAAACCTTGCAAACATCTTTGTTATCCCTATACTTCAGTGCATTTGATTGTTTAATCTTGAGTGCTAATGACAACAATAATTTGCATTCTATAGCCATTATCAAATCTAGCACTTGAACAAGATTACCTAGAGGATACTTTGCCAACAAATGCTCTAATTCTGTTTCTTCACATGCTTTCTATGATAGCATTAACACCAGAAGCTTTTCATTATATATATGTAACTCTTTAATGAGAAAGGAAAAATATATTTGTATTTGTTTATCGAGTTTTCTTTTTAGTCACAAAAAGTATATACATTTTGAAACTGGTGCAGATCAGTAAAATGCTGCACCTACTTGTTTTATAACATTTCATTTGTGCAAATGAATAATGATTTATTGCGGTAGGCTTAGCAACTTCAAATGTCAGAAACAGCATACATACAAAAGTCTAATCCAACCATACCCCACACCCAAAAAAAAGAAAAAAAGAGAGGCAGGAAATGAAAACCAAACACTCTGCCTTTCTGTCTTTCCGGCCCTTCTTCCCCCTTTGCCCCTTAAGACCTCCATCTCCTCTTAGGTTAGAGTTTTGGGTACAGATCAGGCACTGCTTTGTTTTGCAGAAGTAAAAAAGGTAGTAATATCTAGAAGGAAATCATGCTGGTTTTGGAGCTCTTGTAATTAAAGGACTAGACATAAAAACTTAAGGGGTGTGAAATATAAATTCCACTAAGACAACTTTCAAGTTGGCTCCTGTGAACAGCTTGATGCAGATTAACCAGTGGTAGATATCACATAATTCAAGGAACCCTAGATGCTGTTGGACTAAAAACTAGATGATGTAAGTGAAGCTCTTGATAAGGAGATAGTTGCACCACTCTAGTAGAACCAACCAGAAAGTTATCCTCAAGTTCGTGGATATAAGTAAGTATATAAAAGTAAAAATAAAAAATAAAAATGTACTCACTATCACTAATTCAACCAATTGACAAATGAAAGAACTTTAACTTCTGATTAGTTGAAGATCAACAGCTAAGTTCTTGCATTCAAAAGCAAGCTTCTACTCTTTTATCCTTCATTACTGATTTGCCATGTCACTAACAATAATTTCTATTGGTTCCTGCGATACCTCATCCCACATCGTAAAAGTAAAGTGCTATAGACCAATACTTAAGTAGAGCCTGTCAACTGGTATTTTGGAGGAAAACATCTAGTCACAGTATTATGAGTGACCAACTAGTATTTATAGGAGTACAAACCTAACAAACTATTTACAAGAATACCCTTACTAATTTATTATCTACAAGAATACTTATATTCTCTTGACACTCCCCCTCAAGTTGGAGCATATATATCATAAGCACCCAACTTGTTACAAATGTATTTCACCCTAGAACCCCCTAAACTCTTGGTAAACACATCAGCCAATTGATCTACAGACGGTACATGAGATGTCTTGATGACCCCGTCAAGCAATTTCTCTCGAATGAAATGACAATCAACTTCAATATGTTTTGTCCTTTCATGAAACACTGGATTAGACGCAATATGAACAGCCGCCTGATTATCACACACTAAATTCATAGGCTGTTTATGCTCAAACCCAAGTTCCAGTAATATGCTCTTCAACCAAACCAACTCACACACAGTGTGAGCCATAGCGCGGTATTCAGATTCTGCACTTGATCTGGATACAACTGTTTGCTTCTTACTCTTCCACGACACTAAATTACCACCAACAAACACACAATATCCTGTAGTCGATCTTCGATCTGAGGCAGAACCAGCCCAATCTGCATCACTATATCCTTCAATATCAGTGTGTCCATGATTTTGATACAGCAACCCTTTTCCAGGAGCACTCTTAAGATATCTGAGAATCCGTATAACAGCATCCCAATGACTAGTACGAGGGGTATCAAGAAATTGACTCACAACACTCACTGCAAACGAAATGTCAGGTCTCGTTACAGTGAGATAATTTAATTTACCCACAAGTCTTCGATATTGCTTAGGATCATCAAGTAATGCACCTTGATCTCCTGCTAATTTCACATTTGGATCCATAGGAGTATCCACAGGTCGGCAACCTAACATCCCAACTTCACTCAACATATCGAGTACATATTTTCTTTGACATAAATAAATCCCATATTTAGACCGAGCTACCTCAATACCCAGAAAATACTGTAGATGACCTAAATCCTTTGTCTGAAAGTTTGCCTGCAGATTGGATTTAAGTTTCTGAATCCCCACAACATCATCACCTGTAATCACAATGTCATCCACATAAACAACTAATAAAATTTTACCAGCATTAGAATGCCGATAAAATACAGAGTGATCTACTCCACATCTTGTCAGACCGAACTCCATGACAACACTACTAAACCGGCCAAACCAAGCCCTCGGAGACTGTTTCAATCCATATAAGGATTTTTTCAAACGACAAACCAACCGCGGATTCTCCCCCTGAACAACAAATCCAGGAGGTTGTTCCATATATACCTCTTCTTTCAAATCTCCATGCAGAAATGCATTTTTCACATCCAACTGATGCAATGGCCAATTATAAGTGGCTGCCAAAGAGATAAGAAGACGAACAGAGGTAATCTTTGCAACAGGAGAAAAAGTTTCTAAGTAATCTACTCCATACACCTGAGTAAATCCTCTAGCTACCAGCCGAGCCTTCAATCTATCAATAGAACCATTAGGCTGCACTTTTATAGTGTACACCCATTTACAACCAACAACAGGCTTACCTGAAGGACGAGGGACAAGATCCCAAGTACCATTTTGTTCCAAAGCAGACATCTCTTCTTGCATAGCTAATCTCCAACCAGGATGATTAAGAGCATAGGTAATAGACTTAGGAATGGAGATAGAATCAAGGGAAGCAACAAAAGAAGAATATGACATAGAGAGACGAGAATAAGAAACAAAATTAGAAATAGGATGGGAAGTACAATGTCTCTTACCTTTGCGTAAAGCAATGGGAAGATCTAACTCAGAGGAGGGCGTCATACCTGGATTGGAAGATTGAGAATTAATTGGTGAAGTGCGTGGCATATCAGGAACTTTTTCAACCATGGAACGACGAGAGTAAACTTGAAGATGAGGACGAGATAATCGAGCTATGGAATCTGGTGGACTAGATAACTCAGGTAATAAAGGGGAAGGGACTGGTAAAACAGGAGAGGAAAAAGAGGGACACTGGTCTAACTCACAAGACATACTTTGTTTGATAAAATACGGAGTGGATTCAAAGAAAGTAACATCAGCACAAGTAAAAAATCGATTTAAAACTGGACTGTAACATCTATACCCTTTTTGCGCTCGTGCATATCCTAAGAAAATACACTTAATAGCACGAGAATCTAATTTATCCACCCCGGGAGCAAGCTGATGAACAAAGCAGACACATCCAAAAATACGAGGAGGCAATTTAAACACAGGTTCATGAGGAAAAAGAATGGAGTGAGGTAATTGACCTTCAAGAATATTAGATGGCATGCGATTAATTAAATAACATGCAGTTAGAACTGCATCACTCCAAAATTGTTTGGGCACATTCATGTGCAACAACAGTGTTCGAGCAATTTCGATTAAATGTCCAATTTTCCTTTCAGCAACTCCATTCTGTTGTGGAGTGTGAGGACAAGAGGACTGATGAATAATACCAGACTTAGTCATAAAGGTATTAAAAGGAGTGGAAAAATATTCTTTCGCATTATCACTGCGAAGTATACGCACAGGCACACCAAATTGATTCTTTATTTCTGTAACAAATGCACAAAAAATGGAATATAATTCTGAACGATCTTTCATTAAATAAAGCCATGTAACTCTGGAAAAATCATCAACAAAGACTACAAAATATTTAAAACCTAACTTTGAAGTGACTCGACTAGGACCCCAAACATCAGAATGAACTAACAAAAAGGGTTCAGAAACCCGTTTATTGACTTTAGGAGCAAAAGAAACACGATGATGCTTTCCTAACTGACAAGACTCACATTCTAACGAAGATAATTGATTCAAAGTAGGAACCAACTTTTTCAAATTTTGTAAAGACGGATGACCTAAACGACAGTGAATTTCAAGAGGAGAAACAGTAGCAGGACATGCTATCGGACCATTAAAGTTGAGAAAGTAAAGACCATTATGCTCATGCCCTCCACCAATCGTCCTCTTTGTCTTCAAATCCTGAATGACAACGGAATCAGGAGAAAAAGTAACTGTACACTGTAGAAATTTAGTGAGCTTACTAACAGACATTAGATTAAATGGTAAATTGGGTACGTAAAGAACAGAAGACAGCGGAAGTGATGGATTAATTTCTACAGTGCCTAGTCCTTTAACTTTAGTGGTAGATCCATCAGCTAAAGTAACATGAGGAAAGGGAGTAGACTCTTGAAAATTAGAAAAAATTTTAGAGGTACCTGACATATGATCAGTAGCCCCGGAGTCAATAATCCATGAGTCATTACCTTTTTGTGCTAAAGAAGCAGAGGGAAGAGATGCGTGACTTGTAGTTTGGTACTGTAAGAATTTAACATAATCTTCCTCGGATATAATAACAGTTTTCTGGGACCTATGTGCTGAAGAACTTGATTTAACTTGATCAGTGGTAACCCCATTAGCAAAACTTTCAACCATAGCGAATAGCACTTCAAACAAAACAGCAATCAAAATTCGCTATAAACAGTGCGCCGTGAACAGTGCGCCGTGAATAGTACCGGGGTGAACAGTATCGCCGATGAACAGTACCGCGTGAACAGTACGCGGTGAACAGTCGTGATGAACAGTATCGCGTCAAGACTTTTGCTAGATGTTTAACCCTAACCCTAGGACTTTTGCTCTGATACCATGTCAACTGGTATTTTGGGAGGAAAACATCTAGTCACAGTATTATGAGTGACCAACTAGTATTTATAGGAGTACAAACCTAACAAACTATTTACAAGAATACCCTTACTAATTTATTATCTACAAGAATACTTATATTCTCTTGACAGAGCCTAAGCACACAAGTCCAACTTGGGATATCCATTTTGGGCTAGCGAGGACGGCCCAAGTAGTTGGACTTGCCTGCTGAGACTTTGGTCGTGTTCTGGGCTTGCAGGCCTGGGGTGTGACATTATGGTATCAAAGCGCCATGTGTGGTCTCTACAGCGGGTGAGACTGGGCCAGTGGTATTGGGCCGGACTACACAAAGGAGCGGAGGAACTAAGTGCTGTGCAGGGCTAAGTGCTATGTTGACCCAAGGGAGACTAAGCCAGTGGTATTGCGCCAGACTACACAAGGGAGTGAAGGAACAAAGTGCTGTGAAGAGATAAGTGCTACATAGAATCTGACACAATTGAGTGGATAGTCTGGATTTGCGAGAACGCAAAGCCTAAAAAGGAAGGGTGAATGTGATACCCCATCCCACATCGAAAAACCAATAAGTGAAGGTGGATCAAGCTTATACTCTCTCTTATCTTGTCTCCACTCCTTTGGTCTAGAAGACAAGCAAGAGAGATACTTAAGTAGAGCCTAAGCACTCAAGTCCAACTTGGGATATCCATTTTGGGCTAGCGAGGATGACGCCCAAGTAGTTGGACTTGGCTGCTGAGACCTTTGGTTGCATTTCAGGCCTGCGGGCCTAGGGCGTGACAGTTCTCCATGTAATCTTAAGGAAACCAATATGCAAGAGGGCTAAGGCTATTCTAATAAGATGTACAAGCATCTAAATATGAAGGTTGATGGGAAACATATGCAACACTCAGCATGAGAATTAAAGAATAGCATTATGATGGAGTGCTAGCAACCCAAAAACAGCAAGCTGGGGCGTGACAGTTCCTCTATGCATTATGAGAATCACAGAATAGCACTGTGATGATGTGCTAGCAACCCAAAAAACAGAAGTCAAACACAACACTAACACAATTAAAATATGACACATCTTTTAATCCTACCAGATATGATTCTAAAGTTCCAATTCTAATTCCAAGCACCTCCAACATGTGTTCTTATAGAAGTTGTCAATAAGCAAAAAAAACATATCAAAAATACCATGCATACTAACACATTGCCAGGAACATGACATGTAAGCATTGTAATCTGCAACTAAGCAACCAAAAAAAATTTGAAAAAGACACTAACCTTCTATAATCAGGAATTCCACACTCTGTGCTAATTCCAGCACCAGTCAGAACAACAAGATTTGAACTGTAAAATTAGCAAGAATCGAAATTGGTCAGAGATTTTAACAAATCATGTAAATAACAGTTTCCCTTAGAAAGGGAGTAAAACTGCCTTGGAATGGTAAAATTCATAATTAGGAATTTCAGGTGTCATAAATGAAACCTCTTTGAAACTGAAAGTGCACAGTTTTCTGCAACATTTTCACATATGTTATTTAAACAGCAGGTTAGCATGCAAAGGCTAGAGAAAAGTAGAAAACCAGTTTAAATTGGCTATCTTGAACATTCAAATTGTTAAATGGAAAACCTGAATTTAAAAACATATGTCAATCCTTTAGAAAATAACTTTGAAGACCTTACAGAAATTCAATTCTTTTAAACCACACTGGAACAGCATGTTCTTCAGTAAAAACTTGCAACTAAATTTAACTTTATATTTAAACAACTTAATGCATGCTGGTTCCTTCTGTAAGAAGGTAAACCAAATGTGCATTTTAAACTCTCCCACACACATACTACACAAAGTACATATTAATTATATGGGACTGTTATGTCAAAGAGACCCTTATATGTAAAAAGTGACCCCTGGGGCAGGCTTTTTACGCGACAACCGAAAGTTTCAGAAGTAAGCAAATTATAGACAACTAAGGAACTCAAATTGAGTTAACATTCCACCTCCACAAAAGAGAAAAAGAAAGTGCTAATTGAATCATCAAAGAGGGAAAAATGGAGCTTTTTGAACTGGAGATCAATCTGGATGCTATTCTTCTTGATTTAGTTAGAGTTATGAGTGCAATCAGATCAGTTGTCCTTGCCAAGTTGAGTGCACACACAGATGACAAGAAATTGAAGAATAAAGATGAGTTCTCTACAATCACATATATACTGCTCCTGCAGATTCTCCTGAGATTAATCTAACAGGTACACAAAAAAGTGATGCAATACCATCAATATCAATCATACCTCCTATCAAAAAATTGATAGAGAATGTTGACATCTTGAACACTAGGTGGATCTGAATCAGGAATTATCATCTTTTTCCTCAAACTTGAAGATGCCTTCTCTTTACTTTCTAAAGTAGCCCTTGGAAATGAGATTCGGCAAGCTGTCTGCACATGCTTTGAGGATCCTTGAAAAGATAAAATCCTTCCCACTCTACCAAGAGATTTTCTGTTCTTGCAAGTTGATTGAATGCAACCTGTAAATTAGGAAGACAAGACTTGTTTTCAGATTTTAGCTATCAATTACTTTCAGATATGGAAAACCAAAGCATGTATCAAGATAATATCCAACTTGCTGTCAATATTTGGCTGAGCAATTCTCCTGTACTTCTCGGCCCTGAATGGTAAAGGAGCAAAGTAAGAATTAAAACCATGCATGATGGGCCAATTATCTATGGAACCACTCCAAAACAAGATAACAGTTAATAATCAAAACCGTTTATGACTCTCTGAAGCATTTGGAAGCATCATGACTTTAATTTCATAAATGTTCCTGACAACATTTTCTCTTAGAGTACTCCTGTAGCTGTCTATGAGAAGAAACCCATAGATTACTTTAAAAAAAAAAAGAAAGGCGCAAACCAAGTGCATTGCCTGGTCTAGATAAAGCTAAATGTGTAACAATTGCGTGCAAACATACTGTTGTCCAATGGATCACCGTGTAACAAGCTTATACTAGGCAAAAGTTCACTCTTGGAAGAGATATGGACATGAAATTTCAAGAAAGGAAAAGAGGAAAAGAAGCATTGTGAAATAAGAATAGCACATGGTGCACTAAGACAATTTTGTCACCATTAAATTTTCTCACAGATAGCCTTAAAACCCACGGTTGAATCATTCCCAAAACTGGAAATGTTGAACACATTCAATTTGGCCACAACAAATAATTTTAATCTCTATGAATCACTCTCTTCTTAGGCAAGTGCCCTCAAAATTCAAGGTTGACAGCCAAGTTTTCAAATTAAAAAATGCAAATGTTAAATGCATTTAATTCAGCAACACTAAAAATTATACTCTCCTCAGAATCAGTCACATCTTAGGCAAACAAACATTCAACACCAATAGACAATTTTAATTTAGCAAGTAGAACTCAAGTAACTATAGCCTTCTTCATCAAAATTACAGAAAGGAATTAAAAGAAGAGACAATTTCCAGGACATGACATATACAGCTCATAAGAGCACAAAAAGGTTTCTTTCTTTTCCTTCATTTGGATATATGTAAATATGTTCATTACACGTTGAAAATAATGTCTACAAAGGACCGAAAAGAGAGAGAGAACATCATATAATCTGAATGAAATTTAAACCCAAATATGTTACAGTTTTTACCAAATTCTTGAAATTTCAAAATTTTGTCACCTAAGTTAAATAAACAAAGAATCCCATTAGATTATATTGACATGTAAATAGATGAAAGAGAAGAACATAGGCATGTTTTTTTTAGCACAAACTATAAGCATATGTTCTCTTCAAAGCAATTGAGAATTACACTGTCTTCGAAATTTTTGGGAACTGAGGTTTTAAGAAAACGAAATCTAGGACATTAAATATCACTTTCTTGTCATGTTAAATCTGTAAATTGAGTTTTTGAATAAACATATTGCAATGGAGGGGGAAAAAACAATAGATAGTTATAGGAACTTGAAAATGTATCATTTCAGTATAGAATTAAAGTCCCACGAATTGAAGAATATTCAAATCCTATGAATTTGGCATGAAAGAAACTGAAATTTAAAGAATTTCATAAATCTACATATGCTATCAACAAAGATCATACAAAAGATAATAAAATGAAAATTTGAAGAGAAAAGAGGTCTAAACTCTTGAGAGAAAAAAGAAAACTCATAGGAAAGAGGAATTTATGAGTGAAAGACAGACAGTTTCTAAGCTAGTGACCAAAACAGCTGGATTGGCAAGAAATTTCATAAGCGATTGCAAAATATTTGCCACAACTACAGTCTGGATTCTCCTCCAAACTTTCTGCCTTCACCTTTCCAGTTGTGTTGTATATGCCACCAGCATCCAATTTCATGTCCTATATCAGGATATTCCAAGTGTTCACCGCTACCCATCAGAAGAAAGAATCCAAATTTAAACACCCAAAAGATCCAGAGCCAACATAATTTATGCTTAAGTTTATGCCTACCCACTTTACATAAGGTGACAATAGTTTTTTTCTTTGATTCGATAATTCAGGACACACAACAATGTAATATATTATAAGTAATACATTTCCAATTACCAAATGACATATCAGGCAGTGTCAATCTTAACGACTAAAATGATATAACATTTGCTAACTAACATATTTCTAGATCATTCCCACACGTTACATTCACAATGTGATTTCCCCCTCAAGGAATAGCCAAATCAATCATGGCATATATACAATTGAAGCAGAACAGTCTGACGTGATCAAATTATAAAAACATTAGATATATTTAAAAACCTTCCATGTTTAATGCTTTTCTGGAACATCATATTTTCCCAAAATTCTGGAAAGACGAAAGAATAAGAAAAATCACTCAAATAAACAAACACACCACTAGCCCAAAAGTTCCACTATTTAACAGTTACTCCTATTGGTCCATTGTCCTTCCTAAGCCCTAAGGCTCCTATATCCACCCTCCCCACTACACCTTCAACCGGAGCCAAACCAAACTCAGCTAAAATAACAAAAACTGATCTTCTCTCTCAAATACATAGAGCAGATCCAGAATATAACACCTTGCTCTAACTGTCAGATATATTCTACAAAAGGTTCAAAATGAGAAAGCAAAAATTGAAAAAAAAGATCCCGCTTTTTCTTTCACTATCACTGCCTGAAATTTAACCTCAAGGTTTTCATTAGGCATTTCTACTGGATGAACATATAACTGTTCCCTTAAAAAAATTACTGTTTTCTTCCGTATATATCAATGACTATTATATTGTTTCTGTTCCTGGTTTCTGTACTATCATTTAAAAGTTATCTGAAAATATACCAGACCTAATATGCTTCATCTGTCTCACTAAAATATTTACTTCCTTCCCAAATGACCATTTCGGTGTTCAAATAACATAAAGCTAATTCACCAATATATAATCTAGCGTCAGTATATTCCCAGCAAAAAAAAAATTACTACAATCAATTACAGCATCTCTGACAAATATTCTTGCATAAATTACAGCACAACATTCAAACAGTGCAATATATTCCAGAAAACTAAAACACCATTGGAATAACCATTCAAGCTGCAAATAGAAATTTCTTGTATCAGACACTTACAGAAAAAGGGTCTGTAAGGAAATCGGAAAGCCATTGCCATAGGAGCTGAATTGCTGGAAATCTTTTTGCGCTTTTTTCTTTAGGTGTTCAATTCTTCCCTTTCTTTCCCAATTGGGATGCATTGTCCTCCTCAGAAAATAAAAGGGCTTAAAAAAAAAAAAAAGGCCTGATTTTGCTCCCCCTTACGTGGAAGCTTCAAAATCCTTAGCATAACGCTTGTTTCAATAGTTGCAATTTAGTTTCCCATGTTTGGCCTATGTGCGAAACTGGTCCTTAATATTTCAACTAAAATAAATTTGGTCCCGAAAGTTTCAAATTTGAGGCACTTGCCATTTAAGACAATTAATAGAAATCAATAATGATTAATCATCAAAATCAAATTACCATTAGAAGAGGGATGGGTTGGGTAGTACTGAAGGTGAGAATAGAAATGAAAGGTCTTGGATTCAAGGCATCCACTTACACTAGATAAAAAAAATTTAATTACCATTAGCAAAAGTTTTTTGGCATTGCACCTATAATCACTAATATCTTGAATTTAGATTATTATGGTCCCTTAGATTTTAAATAGTTATAGCCACATTTTCAATTTGAAAATGCAAACGAGATATGAATTGATTAAATATACAATACATGTGCTCTCTACTTCCTATAGAATTTCATAAACACTTCATATCATTTTGATCTAAAGAGCATCCCTTTATTAAATAAGTTGAGTTGTAATACAATATAAATTTGATATGTAAAACAAAAATTAGTATAAGAAAAGGAAAAAAATTGTAGTTTTAGTATATAGCTTTGTTAATTTCGACTACACAAATTCTTGCTGACTAGTGGACATAAGCTGCAAATTGGTGTAGTTAGTAGTTTAATCATAAAAACTATTGAATATAAGTACAAATGAAGTGTTTTTAGGAATCTCTAAAAACAAAAAAAACTTCCTCTATTTTGTTGTTTTTCCTCCTATTAAATCCAATGTTCCAATAGTAAAGTTTTAAAATATTTATTTTACTATTTGTTTACCCTGATAATTTTATCGTTGAGTCGAATAACTAACAAAAAGCCAATTCAACTCATACTCAATTGATAACCTATTGAAATTGAAAAAAGAAAGACGAACAATCTAACTTACATATAAAACAAATTTTTTATTTCTTAAAGGGTCATTTAATTGAGTGTTTAATTATCAATACAAATAAGTAATAATAGTTCATTATCATTTAACTCTTCACAGTGCAAAGTAATACATACATATATACACACATACATACATACATGCATGCATATATGTGTGTGTGTGTGTGTTATGCCAAATCTAACACCAACTATGCAAATGAAAAAGTCTATGAGAAATTAGTGGGATGAATGAATTAAATAAAAAGAAAAAGAAAAGGAAAAAGTTGTACTTAACTTTTGCACATTTTTCAATACAATTTCAATCTAATTTGCATATTGGAATATGAGTCCTCTCTCTAGTAGAGGCATTTTCTCTCTCTAAAAAGAGAGTCTATCTCCCCGTGGTAGGAGCTTCAGACAGCACCAAAAGTTACTTTTTGAATCTTGAATTTGAAATACACCTACTCAAATTCAACCGGTTGGCGTACTTATTTCTCAACACTCCTGCTTTCGAGCAACATTAAACTGCTCAGAAAGCAAAACTCTGTCGGAAAAAACACCAAACATTAACAAGCTGAAATCTCAGTTCCCTGTTTTAAGTTCATACGAAAAGGGAAAAAAAAAACAAAAAATCCAAGTCTGCAAAATTCTCGCGCTTCAGCTGACTAGTCGCCATCCTAGTAGTATAAGAAAACTAAGGAAAGAAGAGGTTGACCAAGCTAGAGCTCTGGACACAGCTAACAAACCACCTGGAGACTCTAACAAAGCTGAGACGGTAATTTCATGGACATAACTATCTCATCCTAGCCTTAGTTTTGTGTCTTGTTTGGCTTTCGTTTCTTCCTTCCAGGTGCTTGAACAGGAGAAATATAGTAGATTTTCCTTCTCACATAGGTTTTGTGACTATCTAGACTCTGAGGGTAGTGTGTGGTATACCAACAGTATTTGC